GGGGTGGGGGTGGATGGGGGGGCGTCCAACGGCTAGGTGTCCGAGCTTTGCAGGCTCACATGGACCCCAGCAATGAGAAACTGAGGCATGAACCAGATACCAAATTACAAATTTCACACTGCACAGTCTGAGTGTGTAAGGTCCTCCTTGAATCCCCAGACAAGCTCCCATCTTGTGATCTGGACACCTTTTATTGTCAGGGCACCTGGGACCACCTTAAGCATCTTAGGTCACTGGATAATTTCCACTTTCATGGGAGAATTTTAATCCAAGCCCAGAGATGGAAATTTTGCTCTGCTCCACCTTTAGAAAGAGCCTGTTAAAGCAGTCTTCTCTTTTATAGCTCCTTATTAGTTACTAACGGTTTCTCCACAATTGCTATTATAGTTGATCACCCATTTGTTATGTGTCCGGATGTGCATATAGACTGTTGTTGAGCCTCATTTTCAAACTATCATTTTAATGTGGGATATTCCCTGGGGGAGAATCCAGAGAGGGCAACAGCAGTATTTAGGTTGATTTTTGTTGGCATCGTTTTCTAAAGATGCAGATCCCTATGTACTGACCGCATCCCAGAAACAGGAAACAAGACCACATGTTTAGAAAAACACACAGAGGCCAAGGGAGCACACATGTACTGGCAGGTTGGGGGAGGGGGGTGGAGTCTGCCAAATTTCATCCATCTTGAGTCTCTGCATGATCCACAGTTAGGGACCCCTCCCTTACCTGCTTTCCCACTGCATGGCTCTCTGCTCTGAGACAATCATTTCACAATCTATTGTGGAGTCTAGGATGGCACCCTGGAGCCTGTGTTTTTAACAGTTCCCCAACTTCTCCAGGTGATTTCAGTGCTTTAAGCCATGGGAAGCCATAAAAGGTGGTGACATGATTAAGTTCATATCTTCAAAGGTCACCCTGACAACAGTATGATGACTCAATTGGATGGGGCTGTTCTGGAGGCCTGTGGAATGTGCTGGGGAAGAAATGGTGAGGGTCTAAACTAGGAGAGTGGCTGTGAAGAGGGGGTGAGGTGGGAAGAAGGGAATGATTCACCAGAGAGTATTTAGGGGGTAGACTTGAGGTAATGTGGTAATTGGTTGAATATGCAGAGCAAGGGAAAAGAAGGAATTAAAGTTTTAGCTTGGGAGGTTGAAAACTCGGTGGCTTCAAACAATGAACATTTATTATCTCACAGTTTCTGTGGATCAAGACTTCAAGAGCATCTTAGCTGGGTTGTTCTGTCTCAGTATTTCCCATGAGACTGGTGAGCATGTCAGCTGGGGCTTGATTAGGGGCTGAGGGATCCATTTCTACAATGTCTCACTCATATGGCCGTTGGCCAGAGGCCTCAGTTCCTCACCATATTGGCCTCTCCATAGTGCTGCTTGGATGTCTTTGAGACAAGGTAGTTAATGATCCAAGAGAGTGGAAGGAAGAAGTCATGATGCATTTCCTGACTTAGCCTCAGGAGTCACATTCCATCACTTCTGCAGTATCCTATTGTTACACTGGTCAGCTCTATTCCGTGTGAGAGGGGACTACCTGAAAACACCAGGTGGTGGGGATCATTGGTGGTCATCTTGGAGGCTGGCTACCACAGTGGATAAAAAACCATCGAAGCATTAGGAGAAAACAGGTAAATTCCTCTATAGTCTTTGACTCAAAATCTAGACGCCTAAGGGAAAAGATTGATCAATTTGACACACTGTGCATATTTATAACTATTATGACAGAAGACACCATAAGAAAGTCCAAGATATAATAAACTGAGAAAATGGCTCTAATGCCGATCACAAAGGACTGAGAAGAAAAAACCTCCAATTGT